TTTGTATGCCTGGCCCAGACGTAGCCTGTCAAATTATCGTCGAGGGCTTCCTTTTTGCAGTTGAAACGACGCTTTGTGTATAAGACAATCGTTTTCAATCGTTGCCCTTTCGTCTGCTCCGATAGTCCGATGTGCATTTATCTTATTTTTTCGTATCCCCACCACTCGCAATCACCGGTACCACCTCACCATATCAATACTCCTCTCCGCCACTTTTAAACCCACCCGTTGTACCTTTAACAGGATGAATTACGGATATTTCACTCAGATATAAAAAGAACAAGAATGGAGGGAATAAAGAAAAAAAAAACATAAATCTTTGATAGATAATTGATCTGCGGGGTTTGGAAGGGTTTTATGGTGCGCTCGCTGTGTAATATAAAATACGTACTGAACGAGCTCGGGGTCTTGTTGAACAAATTTATGTTGAAAGGGCCACTCCATTTTAATCTACTATAAATCCACCCCTCTCACTCGTACACGTTGCAATACGCGCGTAAATACCATTAGTATATGCAGCAAATTAATATTGTCACTACTACAAGTCAACTCTAAGTACCTGACCGTAATTGTTTGTTCAACGATAATAATTGACAAATTCGATAAGTATGAATAAATTATATAAATTTAATAAACAAAAATACCTATGTATAATGATGTAAATTAAAATCAACGATCTTAGATTGTGTTTTCTCAAGGAATACTTGATATGTTATACTTAAGTATAAATTACTTTTATTTAATACCATTAAATAATAAGATAAATAAAAACATAAAACTATGCATTTTAAAATTTCCTATACATACATTAAATAACAAATTCAAATCCGTTAAACAAACAGACAGTTTATTCAAAATGTTAAATTTTAATAACGAACTAGAATGGAATTTCATTAAAGAGTTCTATTAATCTAATTATTATAAGTACATTCCATATTTTGTATAAATTCTGTGTCTACAATACAAAAATCATTAAAATAAAAATAATTGTTATTCATTTTTATTTTATAATATCCCACGATTTCAAATTAAATAAATGTAATGTACATCGTAGTGTAAACATTCGTCAACGGGAATGATTAAATAAAAAAGATTAATTTAATTGAGAAAATTATTGTCACATAGGAATGAATCACTATAATAACGAAAAAAATATAGGACTATCAATTAGACTAAAATATCATACAATAACTCTTCAGCCATTTGTAAATAGTAGCCAAAATATTACATAAAATATTGTATTGAAATGTCTAGGGAGCAAACAGTCAATATGCGCACTATCACTGTAAGACTATAGTAGCACAATACACAACACTATTGATACTATTGTACAGCGATAAACAAAATACAAAAATACCAAGTAATAGAAAATCGAAATAATATGATACACAATATGGTCACATATATTATATAATATAAATTTTTATTTTTTATAAAAACAACCATTGTATTTATCCAATATAAATATAATATATTTTATTATTTTATAATATAAGACATTACTAACGTATATAATACATCGTACCTATGTTATATCGTGTTATGTTTGTTTAAAACTGTCTATATCTAAAAAGATAATCACACCGTGTTTTTGTCATAATATGTAGATCAAGCAATTTCATTGAAAATAAAAAAAAAATTTGAAAAAAATGCAATGTTTAAAAAAATAAATACTGATAAGTGATAAATGATGGCTTTGTGGAAATTTAAAATTGTATTTTTTTAAACGTCCTTTAGGAAACAAAACGAAAGTAACAACGTATTTTTCCCCTGTATCCGCTGTTCGACCAATGCGTGTCAGCGACTGAAAATGAAGAGATGTTTCCTGTAAAAAAAAATTCAGCACAACCCACCAGCACTGTTATAAGGTTACACATTTTGTGTATAGCTAACGTGAATACACATACACACGTCGTATCGATTCCTATGGTTTTACCAAAAGCGACCAATGCTTTAAGGGTGTGCAGCACATCTTCTCTCTCTCACCCACTATGACTACTTCTTGCTCTACCGCAGTACAGTTTATGGTTCGGAAAAAGCGAAGGAGAACGGCACGGTAGCAAAGGCAGCAGCGGTGGAAGTGAAGCGTAGACCCCAGTCCCGTTGACAGCGGAAGACTAATGACCGGCCCGGGCCGTATCGCCCTCGCCGACGTTTTGCCATCGCGCGGATTGTCCCTCTAGCCACGATATATATATTATATTATTATATACGTATACTGTATCTTTTATATTAAAAAATAAAAATGCATTTATATTATTTTATTATTATTACTTATTATATTCGCTGCGTGCATTATGTTTATTGTTATTTTTTGGATGACTATTATATTATTTCGCTCAAAACTTTTTTGGTTATCCCACGTCGCAATTTTTTATAATAATTTAATTTTGCACCACAAACGTATTTTAGTTGGTTATGATATTATTGTTATTACCATATATAAAAAAAAAAAAGCAACCAGACGTTATAGTATTATAAACGTCGTGTACAGATATTATTATAATAGTTTTCCATTTAAAACTCGAATGTTTTAATAATAATAAAAATAACCATAATGATTAACGATAAAGGGGAAAAACATAAAGAAAACATGTCACAACCGTGTTATTAGACATAAAAACGTCGTTTTGTGCCAGAATAATTAAAAGCCTCCTATCGGGATAAGTATATATACAAACTAATACGATGGTACGAGATTAAGGAGGGGACGAGCTAATTTTCCGGAGTGAAGCACCGAGATGGTTTAATCCTGAAAACAGGGCCGAAATTAAACCTTAAATCTAGCCAAATCTCGGTGAGTTTCTTAAGTATTTCACCTCCCGTACATCTCTATCCCACTCATTCACTTACTAAATATTTCTCTCTCTTTTTTTAAAATCCTTCCTGCGTTTTCACTTACACAAATCTTCGTTTTCGTATTTACGATCCGCAGACGAAAACGAATGGTGGAAATGGAAAAGTACTTATTCCAATTAAATGCGAAATGCACTGCTACTGCCAACGAGATCCATTCACATACGCAGTGCAGGTACAATCACTTATTTACTTATCAACGTGCTTTCCCCAACTCGGATATACACAACTTAAAAAAAAATCCAACCCGTTTAAATTCATATATTAATAATAAATAGTACACGTAAATATTTTTTTACGTTTCGAAATTCACTTTTATTTTTTCATATTCTATATAAATATATACATAAAAAAAAAAAATAAGAAAAAAATAAAACATATTGACTGGAAAAGAAATATAGATACTCAAGTGTTGAGAATTAAATTGGCTCAGGATTGACTAAGGCGCTGAAATAAGATAATAACCAGCGCACCCTAAGAATTATACGGCCTCAAGGATATTGCTTTTTCCTTAAAAAGGCCATTAACTTCGATCGAGTTCCTTTTATTTCAATCAGTAATTTATCGCCTACACACCCGGGCCACTATGTTTTCATCCCGAGAGCCAACGCCAAAATATATAATAAACATAATTTATAGAGAATCACAAAAAAAAAAAAAGAAAAGAAATATTTATAATATTCCATTCTTTCACGGAAAAATAACTTTAAGGAATTTAAAAATTGATACACAAAAAAATAAAAAATAAACTGTGAAATAAGTTCTCATAATTTTCACAAGGGGAAATTGTGTTTAAAAAATCAGATAAAATCGCAAGACTAGCCGATATTGAGTAAATTGAATTCATTTTAAACAACTTATTGTTGGCCGAGATTAAAGTTTTTAAATAAGTCAAAACTTTAAATCAAATGGCAAGGGAAAATGAACGAATACTTTTAAGAAAATAACATCAAAGTTTAAATTGACATATTTTACATATCAAGAGTTGACTAAGTTAGTTTATTGAAACACTGGATATCATATTTCTCAGTTTTTCAAACGGGGAATAAAGAAAACTTTAAAGCCCACGTTCGTTTTAGATTATTCCAAAGTAAATACAATTCCGGTTGCTCAACACCAATTGTGTCAATTCCAAATCTAACGAATTTCAAAACAATAAGGCTTTTCGTAAAATTCAATTGGTTTTCATTACAAATCTATAACGGAAGAAATATATCTAATTATATGTAACCCTTTAGTTGAACGATGCGTATAGTACGTAGATACGCAGAATTACAAATATTTTATAGCTGAGGTGAATAGACAATATTTATTTATTTTTTCGAGTCCGTCAGTATAGCTGAACGTCATCAGTTCATGAAAAATAGGCGGTGGATATTTTTTATAAATTTATGTGCTATTTGATGTACAGTGTTCCAACTTGGCCTCCGTCAACCAGTAGACGCCCACCTTACGAGAGTGAAAAATCTAACGTCATACACACGGATTTCTTCTACTTCTATCTTTTTTCCCCTACTAGGTCTTTTATATAAAGCGATGAGCGTCGAACGCAAAGACGGGTAGGTTCGTCATAATTCTTATAGGTGCTGGCGCCGCCCTAAGAGACGCTTCGTATAACATCCCTTAATAGGCATCCTTACGGCGGTTCCCCTAGTATGCTCATTATTCAACCCCAGCCTTCAAAACGGAGAATGTCGCACTCGAGAATGTACGTGAAGTGTATGTGCATGTGTGTGTGCGCATAGGTATATATTCGTTTTTTTCTTTCCTCACACCACGCCTATCACACGCGATGATTCAACCACATTTTCTTATCCCACAGTAGCAAATATTATATTTTTTTCTCTCTCACCGTATATCTGCTCTTGTTGGCCAATAATCGGACGTGGTTGTGTAAATCTGACGATAAATCAAACGCACAACAAATTTGTCGGTAGACGTTTTTCCCTCCCATTTATTTTTTTTTTTCCAAAACCTTTGCGGTGATAAAAAAATATCATTTCTTGGATTTCTTTCTCAAAAAACAACATATATATATATATATATATAAATTTATGGACGCTTAACGGATAGCAATTTCTCTTGTCCCTATACCCACTTACATACGATATAATAATAAGGGCTAGGAAATAAACCAAACTTACCTCTGTGTCGATTTGTTTGTTTGTCGAACATTAACATCGCGTCTTCAATCTGAAACACAAACACAGATAAGATTAAACATGGAGAAGCAATATAATAAATATTTTCGTGTAATAGTATACAAAACATGTGTATTGCAATACCGGGAATCTTAGCATTTACAAAATTCGATAGGTTCATTACACATTCTTTGCGTTTCACATCGATTACAAGCACGCAACTTGCTGTTAAATAATATAATACAATAATTTACAGTGGTATAGACTAAATATTATAATAAAGATACGGGTCTTTTTAACGGTTATATTTCTAAACTCTATATTTCTATATGGTTATGAGTTCATTAATACTTATATATAATACAATTTATTAAACTATAATAGTTTGTATTGGTGTTCCATTTAACTATTTACATTTTTTTTTTTTTTAATTTAGTGTGTTTGTTCGCGTGTTCTATAAACACCTGATAACAATTTTGACTAAAGTACTAACTAGTTACATAGGTGTATTATACACAAAATAAAAATATATATACAAATCAATCACGGAATATATTTATATTTTATTTAATATTTATCTAAAAATCAAAGATTATGTCCAGCAAATATAAAGCCACGATTCATGTTGTAATACTAGTATTTTCCCTATTATAAAAAATTATTTCCATTGAACTAACATTTAAGATAATCCTTTATAATAAACGATTGAACTTCTTCTGGAAAATTCTTAAATATAATATCCATATTTTTTTGATAATGTTTTTGTATTAGAAGCATATTATGCACAAAAATGTATTTATACATGACCAGAAACCGATTTGTTCATGACTTGACAGTTAATTCAATATTATGAAGATAATACATCGCTCACTAGAGAGCCGTTCACAGTAATTGGCTAATGGATGAGTTCCTAAATAAACGGTAGACAAATAAGGTTACAAAAGTGCCCCAACTAATAAATCACGGACGCGACGCCACCAAGTTTATTAACGAACCGGGTGAAGTGAATGGAAAAACAAAACACAACATTTTACAAAGTTGATAGCATAAAATCATTCACATGATAATAATATTATATTATATAATGTTAAATTTTATTTCACTCGGCGAATTACTAACTATCCATAAGAGCTTTCACAACACGTTTATAAGCGAAGAGCGCAGTAACGACTGGTTGAAATTGTCAAACTGTATCTATTTTCAAGAATGAATGATGCCAAAAAAATAATACTTAAATTTTAAGGAAGAGGCGAGAATTAAATACCAAATACCGTGAGATACCATAAACATCTATATAATATATTGTATTTATAAGAACTTTTGTCCTCCACTTAAAGGTTAAGTGAAACAAGTCAAAATTCTCCAAAAATCCTTGTACTTAGAAAAGGCGAAGAGTTGGTAAAGGAAAAAAACATCTAACGTGACACTGAACGTATATCACTGAAATCAAAAAGAAGAGAAAAAAATAATATAATATAAATACAAGAGGAAAATGCATACAGTTTTCTCTCGCCTTCCAAGTGAATTCAAGTGTGCGGCATAGAAACTATGGTGGACGATGGCGCCAAAAGTCTATGCTGACCCGACTTTTTGGTTGAAGGGGAAAGAAAAAATATAAAACTTTATAATAAATGTTTGTTTTGGTAAACTTTGAATGTATGACTACATTCATTCAACCATTCGATTTTTCGGCTATGTCCCACCGTTGGTACACGAGTTTTGCTTCGTTGTACGACCGACGACAATTAAACTACTGACACATTATTTGTAGGACAGCCAATTTTTATTCAATAAAATATACTATACGCTTGCTTTTCAAAGATTAATAGCTCCACTTCAAACATTTCTCAAAATATTAAAACAAAGTATTGTAATACATTTATTATTTTTATATATTTTTTTTTTTTTTTTTTTTGTATTTATTTTATGACAGAAAAAATATTGGGTTTCACTGAACTTAAAACTTTTGTGAAAGCCCAATTTTATAGTATAATTAGTATAATTAATTATAGTATAAAATACAAATACAAATATTAGTTAAAAATTTATGTTTGTAATTGACGATCAAATATATGTAGGTATATTATACCAACGAAGTTATAATTATCGATTTATTTTCACAGAAGATAATCAGTGATATACTATATGATTATTATTCGTAAAATTCAATCGCTAGAGGTGCTTTTGATAACACGTTATTTATTATAAAGAAATTATTTTTATTTAAAGTACGGTCTTTGTAGAATGCCGAGGGGTATTCATTTTTTTATTTTCATAATTTACACTAATACGCTTGCAGACGATAGGTACTAGAGAAAAGTTGTTTAACTTTTAAAATTTATTGGTTTAATTTCCTTAAGAGAATGTAAATCGTAACTTTCAGTGCGATTTAGGAACTTTAAAAATAATATGTATAGAAAGTGAGCGTATAACTTTGCATTTCGTAGCAAGTTAAAATCTAAATAATTTAAGAAATAACACATACAAAAGTCTCTTCGAATATCATAACTAAACTTGGACGCGTTATTCAATCTTACATAGAAACTTAAAATCTTATTAAGGGATATTCCAAGAAACAAATTACAGCCAATTACATACAGATCACAAGCAATATTAATATAATATATTATAGTATCATCTAAAAAAAGTTTCATACACTATATCAAACAGTTATTTTAGTTTATATATTGAAACTTAAGCAGCCTAAAATAAAGACGTGCAATCAATAAGAAAATAATGCTTAAAAGTTGAAATAGATATAAAATTAAAATTATTTTAATCAAATACTTAATTTATAAATACAATAAAATATTTATCATTACATTTTTGTGGAATTTGTTTTTAAATTGTTTTGTACAAAATAAAAATTCTATTTAATTGTTAACTAAATATAACTGCAAAATAAACCTGATGTTTGAAAAATTTGAAGAATTAAATCATTAATTTTTACTGTGATTCGATGAGTATTTAATATATATAATTACAGCCACACTTTATTTCTACGTGTATAGTGGCATTTGTTAAATTTATCAACAAAATATATTACATGTATAGAAAAACATGAAAAACACAAAGATATTAAAAACACCAGCAAAAAAAAACAACCTAATCATTTTTTATCAACAGCATAAGAATGATTATACTGATATTTTATAATATCTTTTTGGTTCACTATATAATCAATGTGTTTTTTATCTCCAATAGATATACGTATTCAATTGCTAATTATGTTTGTCCGACATATTTGTCTTATGATTTAGGTTGAATATTATGAAAGTGAATAGACATGATAAAATTAAAACTCGTTGGTAAATACTATACATAATTTATTTCAGGATTCAAGAGCAGATTAAATAAATATCTTAACATAATATTGAGAACTAACAAAAACGTAATAGCTACTTTTAAGACTATCCTGTAATAACTTATATAGTATAAAATTATCTATAGCAACAAAATATACAAGTAAGAAATCACAAATTCAAAAACATAATTTTCCTAAGAAAATTAAAATCGTAGTAATAGCACTATTTATCTTTCAGTACAGATATAATGTGTTAAATTTAAAATAATGACAATCTTTGCTATAAATCTCATATTTGATCAAATAACGTTTTAAATTAAAACTACGACTATGTCCATAGTATATCCTATAAGCTTAAAATAATATAATTATTGAAAAACAAATGCATACAAGTATTGTCGTATATTATACTATATTGTACATTAACAAAGAGATATTCTTCGTAAAACTTAACAAATATAATTTAGTTTAAAAATGCGTGACTAATGGATACAACATAACATTAAATATTACTTTTAAGAACGAAAAAAATTTATTTTATTATATTATTTTTAGAATTATTATTATAATTTATTTATAAGAATTAATTAATGTGTCAATTTATTTACAATAAAAGTTTTATTCTATGCTATTTTTGATTAATTATTTATTACTATTATTATATTAACGTCTCGTCAATCATTTTTTTTAAATATAAATAAATCATTCAACTTTTTATAAGATATTTATCGTTGTTAACATTTCCTAATTAACTAAATCATATAAATTACACGCGTGAATATGTACAATGTACTTTCAACATTCAATTTATCATCTATAATCCATAAAATATGAGAAAACATTTTAGTATAAAAACATAAATTATATTTTCCTTATTTAACATATCTGAGAGATCAACATTTTTTCATTTCGCTCAAATTCAGTAAATCTACATTCAACTCGGAGTGTTACATGATAAATTCCGTATACTACCCCTAGTAACCTACAGTAGCAAATATTCTCTGCCCCCTCGAGAATAGCGTGTAAATTTATTAAGTGTGGGTAGTTATTACTTTCAATTGAAAACACACAGCTTATAGTTAGTTATATAATATAATTGAATATTTTAGAGATTCTCCAAGGACACAGGGATAGTTTTCACGAAATTTTTATGAAACTAGAAATTATCTCTTCCGTACTCTGAACACATTTTTCGTCCCTCTTATATTCACTAAACAATGATTATATTTTTTCCTCTCCTCTTGTTTTTTTCAACATTATTTTTCTACCGGAAAACAAAGGAAATCCGGTCTCCAAAGTTCCTGACGCCAGTTATTCGCCGTGCCCCAAAAACGTTATCATTCAGTTTCCGTGCCATTGAGCCGATTTTATTGTGCTCAGTAGTATCAGTATTTTACCACCTCTGTTCTTACTCAAACTGCTTAATGTTCCCTATAGGTCAAACTACAAGACTCGTTTAAAAGAGTAGGAAAAAGAAACGAAAAACGGTATACGAAAAACCTTTATGGGTGTGAAAACTTTATCAACAATGAATTTAATGTTCTTTTTTTTCTCACCCCGAATTTCAATTCCTAACTCATCTGCTGCTGGTACCAGGCCAAATTCTAAAATGGTGTGAAATTGTGGGTAGACTAAAGGATGGTGATAGGAGTAACAAAAGTTGGTTTATACAAAGTTTTGTCACCCCTACCACACACAATAAGAAAACCGCATTGGCACTTGGGGACTAAGTACTTGTGTCGACGCCA